TGTCTTTGTTCGCCGGGTTTTGAAATACAGGCCTACTTACCGACACCCGACACGTTACCTATTTCTTGGTCTGAAGGCGGCATTCGTTGGAATTTTAGAGCTTATGGTGAGTTGTTAGGTGAGCCGTGTATATTGAGTGGTGTCCGTCAAGGATACCCACCCTCTGATGCGTCCTTGTGCGTTGGCCAGTAACTGATGGAATTGCTACATGGATATGGAAAGCTCAATTGGCATTTCCTAACTGACACCGTCATGATATCCGATTGCCTACAAAGAATCGAGTGCTCTGCACTCTAGTCCACCCTGTCCTACTATATGGCTGTGAAACATGGCGGTTAAAGGTCGAGTATATGAGGCAGCTTCAGGTGTTTTGACCACTGTTGCCTTCATATCATGGACAGTGTGTCATGGTATCACCATTTTAGTAATCCAAAAGTCAGGTATAGGGTTTTAGGGAGGATAAGAAGGTCAGTTGATGAAGTCATGAACCTTCATCGATCCATATGACTGGGACATGTTTCACATGCCTGCTCACCGTCTGCCTCCTTGCACAATGTTAGCTGAAGTTAGTTCAGACTGAAACAAGACTTGGGGTAACCAGACTAAAACATGGAATCTGTGCATGTAGTCCTTGACGGTCGGTCTGAACCATGTAGAAAGATGCAGACTAGCCTGTTGGTGTCCATATGACAACGGAAGCTATTTGTTAGAGACTAGATAATGTAGTAGTGCGAATGTATCCAGACTTCATCCCAACCGCTATACCGAATTCAATATTTTCTCATTTCTCCTTCTTCTCTTTTGCTACTTTCCACTGCCTGTGACCTATTTTTCTTTCCTTTCTCATCTTCCATCTTATTACTTTGTTACTTGTTGTGCTGCTATGAGGTGTGGGGTACCTTGTACTGAATGAAATAGATGATAATTGGTGGACGTGTTGCTGAATAAATGTATTAGTAATATACTCTGAAATTAGGTGACTTGAGTAATTAGAAGGATATTTTTAGAGTAGTTTTTTAACTGATCTTCAATTGCTATCTATCCACTTGCATCTTGGATGGCATGATGCTCTTGGGTATCGGACTTTTTTCAAATTTGGAAAGGCTGAATAGCTTATTACGAAGAATAGAAATGCAAACAAGTCCTAAATTGTACTACAGTTATGGATGTATTTGACTGGCTTAATCACTTGACTTTCAAACACTTAGGCCCCAGATTCAAACCCTGTTTCATCTACTTCGGCCTGGATAACCGAATAGCATCTTGAACTATCATTAAATATATGCCTGATTCATAGCTTAGCACATAATCGAGTACAGAATTGTGTTACCTCATTATTATGCATCTAGATTATTTGATGACTGCAATCTAGTAGTAATGTTACCTAGTCAAGTAGACAAATGTAATTTCTAGCTGGAGGCTGACAAAAACGAAATAAGTAAACGAAGCGCAAACGCATCTTAAAAGTCATCTGACACCGCATGTTTTTTCTTTTAAGATAGTTTACCGGGCTAACCTGAAATACTCCAAACGTCTGGGTTCTCCCCCCACTTGTGCATAGCTGAAGCACTAGCTAGAGGGGGGGGGGGTATTACACCCCCAAGAACGGACGTCCTATGCTTAACTTTTATAAATTTGGATAATCTTTTTCACACATTTTTCTTCCTCTAATATGTATCGCTCAATTTTACCGCCTTTTAAACTTTTCCCATTAGTTAATCTCCCACTATTAATATGCTATTTTGTCAATTCGTCTCAAGAGCGTATGCATTGTATATAAACGCAAGAGTTGTACCTTCATATTTCGATTGGAGTAAACTACTTGCTTCATCTCATCAATGTCTCCTCCTTGTATCAACTGAGCAACAGTTATCGAGTATCGTATAGTTCGTCCAGTAAAAAAATTACGCGTTGTTAATTAGTCGTATCCGAGAATCCCAACAAAGCGTAATTAAACTGACTCCTGTGTTAACAGTCGCAAACCACCACCACATCAAGTAAAAAGGTAGTGAAGTAGAAGACGAAGAAAAGAAAATTCACTCAAAACAAACATAAAGTACTAGAAGAGAGAAAGAAAGAATGAAAAAATGGTGAGATTCGTTATAGCGTCGTTAAGATGAAGATAATGTGTGTATGTGTGTACATATGCGCCACTGACATCGGTTCTCAGCCATGTGATCACCTAGATTCAGTCTCCAACCACTGCTTTCTCTTATCCCATGGACCCGAACCAGCCAGTCTGCATTGCCCCACATGGCTCAAACCAACAGTCAAACACTTCATACATTGATGCCATGTTTTAGTCTGGCCATCTCGAGCAATTTTCAAGCCTGAACCTACTTTGTGCAACATTGTGTGATGAGGCAGACGGCGACTAGGCCATGCATGACACGTCCCAACCAGCTATCTCAGTCAATGAAGATTGATAACCGTGTCAACTGATTTACCTCTTCTCCCCAAAACTCTACACCTGATCCTGACTTGTGCATTACTGATGGGGTGACACCACAGAATACAGTGTATACTACGAAGGCAACTGTGGTGTGACACCTGAAGCCTTCTCATGTGTTGCACACTTTTGACGGCCATGTTTCACAGGCATAGAGTAGAAGAGAGTGGACTGTTGTGGAGTACAGTCGATGCTTGATACATGATGGGATATCACGGCGGCACCACAGGTGGCGTAAGTTGGCAAAAGCCAGTCAAGTCTTTTGTATTCATGCAAAGATTTCATCGGCCACTAAGCAATGCACCACGGTAGGGTTGATCCCACTTCACTTCCCAGGTAAGTGAAGTCGTCGACACACTCAACCAACTACACTCTCTATTGTTAGCCTCAGTGAGACACCGTTAAAGACCGATCGTGGAGCAACAATTTGCATTTGGGTGGTGAGAAATACATCCCGAACACTCAAATTGCCACTCAAGATGTCGAGAAGACTCTGCATCTTGTCAGAGTTTTCACCTAACAGGACTGTGTCATCTGCGAATTCTAGGTCTAACGAGAATTCTCCACCGATTAGGTCAACGTGTGGTGTAGTCAGGTGTCGAGATGGAGACCTCCATAAGAATATCTATGATCAAATTGAATAAGAATGGAGTGAGTGGGCAGCCTTAACGGACACCACTCGACGAGTACAGTTCCACGGACATCTCACCATAGGCTCTAACACGCCTACAAGTGTTCGAGTAGAGAGCGTTTGATAAGGTGATGTACTTACTCGTCACGCCTCTCAGTGAGAAACATTTCCGTGAGACTTCTTGCTCAACAGAGTCAAATGCCACCTTCAGGTAGAGAAATATAGGTATTGTCCGGAGTCAGTAAGCGTGCCTGCGTTCCAGAACCTGGTGCAGTGTGAGTATTTTGTCAATACATGTGCCACGGGGCCCCTCCTTGTTTCAAGTTACCTACAGCTTTGTCAACTTCTGCAGGTGTTGGCGGGCGTATCTTAATGTTCCATTCAGGACTCGACTGGATAGCAGGCAACGGAGTGGTGTCTGGAGGCCAGTTAAACTGTTCTTCAAAGTGTTTTGCACATCGTTTCAGACATCTCCCCTTCGAGTGAATCGCAAACCCGTCCTTCTCCGCGATGGTCTCACTAACCGTTGTTGACCTTTTCCTCCCAGTTTCCTTAATATCTAATAACTGTCTATTGTTACCAGTCGACGCTGCCTTTTCCATCTGTTTAGCCTTCGCTGCCCACCACTGTTCGGGGTTGTTGCGTAGACTTTTTCTCAATCTACTTTTAAGTTTCGCTTGCTCTTCATTGTACTCAGAGCGTGGAGGGATGTGTTCACGTGCATCCATTAGTTCGGAGGAAGCTGCTGATATCCACTGGGTCTTTTTAGCCATTATTTTGGAGTCGGTTACAGTCTTCAGTGCTGCTTTTACAGCAGACTGGAGATGGCAGGAAGCTTGTTCTGGGTGAATGATAGTGTTCTGTTGAGATAACTGTCTATCCAATTTTTCACTGAAAGCGGCTTTGATGTTTTCGTTGTTGAGGTGAAAACGGTCTTCTCTATTTTGGCCTTGTTATTATATTTTTCTATGGTTTATTTTATTCCACTTGACTGCATAAATTTGAGTCTCTTCATGATCATTTGTTATTATTTGACACTATTTTCTTTTAGCAGCACTAAATCTCACCACTTGGTATTTCTTAAAGATCTTTGTATATTGTCCATTTGAGCCAATCCACCTACCTCGACGTAGTATGCTAGAAAAGACTGAGTCATTCGAGTTTGTATTCATCATGGACTGCCATCTGGAAGCACTAGACAGCCATTGTTTTGTCGTAGTATGAGATTCTTGAGTAGTGTTAACTGACGACTCCGTACTTCAGGGATGGAACCCGTGACTTTGTGGTTTTTGTGGTCAGCACGTTACCATTGAGCCACTTGGTCAGAATCGAATGGTCCATATTTCCAACTTCTGTGAATTCCCGACATATCACGACCATCACCCAATGTCATCGTTTAGTAGTTGTCCTCACGGCCGATGAAGTTGAGTTTGAGTTGACTGCCATTCTATGCTCTGTTCTATGATGATGCGTAGCGTTGCAATTTGATTCGCACATAATTTATTCTTCCTGAAGCCAGCCAGCCTGTTCCAGTTGTAATTTTAAATGCATTTTAAGGTCTCTTCAGGATGATGCAGCCTAGTGTTTTGTTTGGGGCAGACAGGAGCATGATTCCTTGCCAGTTCTTGCAAAGACTTAGGTCTCTGTTCTTTGGGAGTTTGACAAGGTAACCCTTCTTCCAATCAATGGGCAGGTACCTTTCCTTCCAAACCTTCTGCATTAATGTTGTGAGCATGTTCGTTGTTGTCTCTGCATCTGTTCATGAATAAATAAATGAATATTTTCCGTTAATCAGCATAAAAGAACCTTTATGTAATATTCAAGTAAGATTTGTTTTGCATAAACTGTTGTTTATTTGCTGTCTCAAAATGCCTATTTCAATGCTGTTCTGAACCAGTACTTCATTTTATCATTATGCAGGTGGCACATATCTAAAAAGTGAAGGGATCAATTTTGTGGCTCAGTCTTCTCCTGGTGTACGATCACCAACAGATTTACAGTCTATTACATATAATCAGAATGGTTTCTATGTTTCCTCAATGCATCATAATTCATTGAGTTCTGTTGGTGGTGGTGGTGGTGGTGGTTCATTAAACACTGTCACTGATATGGCATCAGTTGTAGCCGCTTCAATGTCTACAGATTTTGGATCAACTCGTACTGTATTCTGTCCTCATCTTGGTTGTGGGAAAACATTTCGTGATACAGCTGCTATGCGTAAACATTTGCATACACACGGTCCACGTGTTCATATCTGTGCTGAATGCGGTAAAGCTTTTGTAGAGTCTAGCAAGTTGAAACGTCATCAACTTGTACATACTGGTGAGAAACCTTATCAATGTGCGTTTGATGTAAGTTTGTAAAGTTTTCGATTGAACCGATTACTTCTTAGACAACTGTTTCAATTATAGTTGTTTGTATTATACCGTCGTTATTATTATTTTTTATTATTAGTCCCTTGGGTTCCTAGTGGAACATAGGGCTTCAGTAGCACGCCTCCAGTGACCTCTGTTCTCTGAGATCTTTTGAACCTGGTTCCACGACAGCCCAGAAGCTCTCATTTCCTCCTCGCATGACCTCCTCCATGTCACCCTCGGACGTCCAACTCGTCGCTTCCCATCGGGATTCCACTCGAGTAACTGGCCTGACGCGTGATGTCCTCAGTCGGCCTTCTCAGTGCATGGCCAATCCATCTCCACTTCTTCCTGCATATTTGTTGCGTGATAGGTTCTTGGTTGGTTCGTCACTATCCAGAGTTCCTTGTTGCTTATTCTTATTATTCTGGCCATCTGATCTTCAGTAGCGAGCTAGCGTAAGCAGTTGTTGATGAATGTCTGTAGTTTATTGGAAATGCCTTTCGTGACGCGCCAAGTCTCTGAGCCATACAAGAGCACTGACTTGACGTTGGTGTTGAAAATCCGTATCTTGTTCCGCATGCTGAGTGGAGTGCAGAAGATCTCCACACTGGTCTCAGGCTAATGAAGGCCTGTCTTGCTTTTCCGATTCTGACTTTGACGTCCTCGTCCGTCCCGCCTGTAGTTGAAACAGTGCTTCCTAGATAAGTGAAGGAGGTTACTTCCTTCAAGTTTCTCCCGTTGACGGTGATTGGAGTTTGTTGTTGTTGTTGATGGTGGTGGTGGTGGTGCGGTATCTTCATCACTTCTGTCTTCTCTATATTCACCTGAAGTCCCGTCTTCGCTGCCTCTTCTATCAACTTGTTAGTTTTTGCCTGCAGATCTTCAAGTTTATGTGACATTAGGCATAAGTCATCGGCGAAATCCAAGTCTTCTAGGTTCTTTTCCGTCGTCCAGTGTATCCCCCTCTTCTCGCTGCCTACTGTTTGCTGCATGATCCAGTCCACCACAATAAGGAATATCATGGGGGATAGTAGGCAACCTTGTTTCACTCCTGTCTTCACTTCAAAGGCATCACTGAGCTTCCCATTGTGGATTACTTGGCATGTGGCATCTTCATATAGTTGTTGAATGAGGCGGATAAAGGTTTGCGGTACTCCGTAGTATTGAAGCAGTTTCCAAATTACTTCTCGGTCAACGCTGTCAAAGGCCTTCTCAAAGTCGATAAAGCTGAGGTAGAGAGCTGATTGCCATTCTATGCTCTGTTCTATGATGATGCGAAGCGTTGCAATTAGGTCTGCACATGATTTGTACTTCCTTCATCCAGCCAGCTGGCCTGTTCCGGTCGTAGTTTTGAATCCAGTGCATCTTTAAGCCTCTCCAGGATGATGCGGCCTAATATTTTACTTGGGGTGGACAGGAGATTGATTCCGCGCCAGTTCTTGCAAGCACTGAGGTCTCCTTTCTTCGGCAGTTTGACGAGGTAGTCCTTCTTCCAATCGACAGGTACCTTCTCTTCCTTCCACACCTTCTGCAATAGTGGTGTGAGCATGTCTGCTGTTGTCTCTGCGTCTGTTTTCAGTGCTTCTGGCGGTATCCCATCTGGTCCTGCTGCTTTCCCTCATTTCAGTAGCTTTATGGCGTTCAGGACTTCCATTTTCGTTGGAGGATTTATGTTCACTTGTAATTCAGCGGCTGCAGGTGGTATTTCTGGACGAAGTGCAGGTGGTGGTGGTGGTGGTGGTGGTCGATTCAAGAGCTTTTTGAAGTGATCGGCCCATCGTTTCCTCTGTTTCTCTTCTTTCGTAATTAAATTTCCTTCTTCATCTTTTATTGGTTTCATCTGTGTTGGTCTCTTCCCTGATAGCAACCTGGTTATTTGATACAATGTCGTCAGGTCTCTCTTACCTGCAGCCTGTTCTGCTTCACTTGCCAGTGTTTCGTAGAAGTGTCTTTTGTCTTTGCGTGCACTCTTCTTCACTTCTTTGTCCAGTGTTTTATACATTGTGCTCAGTTCCTCTTGTCGTTGAGCATCCTTGCACTGGTTTATCTTCTGCTTCACCATCCTCCTCTCCTCTATCAGCTTCCAGGTATCCGTCGAGATCCATTCCTTGTCTTCTTTCTTCTTCCTTTCTAATACGGCTGTGCAGGTTTCTTTCCACATAGCTTTCAAAGACTTCCAGTGTTCTTCTACACAGGTTTCTTCAGGGATGTCCCTTAATTATATACAGTAGTGATGGATAGTGGCTAGCAGTGGAATCCAGGATGTGCACTTCGTCCTGTCTGGGACTCATCAGCCGGATGTGGCTGCGTTCCAGTCGGTGATGTTGTTCCCACCAGGACTTGGACATCGACGCTCGGTAGTGTAGTGGATAACGCTCTGGCACTTGGAACGATCGCTCCCGAGTCCCAGTGGGGACAACACTCACTGGGAAGCAAGTACATCCAGCTGACGAGCCCTAAATAGGACGAAATGCACATCCTGGATTCCACTGCTAGTCAGTATCCTTCCTTACAATATATATAGTCGTTTTGATTGCATAACACGTAGTCAATAAAATGCTGGTCATTCTCTATGGAATTTCATGAGTATGAAAAAATCCAGTAAACTTTTTTTTTTTTCTTGGAAGTTTTGTTGCATTGAGTAGCTATCAGTCGAATCTTGGACTTGTCAGCTGACGTTTCAAACTGGTTACTAGAGTGTATCCTGGTGAAAGCATCATCTCTTAATAAGGGGCTGATTCATTCAGCTGACCAATCTCAAACATGGCGGAACGTATGCTCTACATTACGCTACTAGCTACTATTCTCATGACTTTCAAACTGAAATTAATTGTAATACCTAGATATCTTCACATGGGGTTCATATGCTAGGATCTACCAATCAACGATTTCCAAGTGCAGTTACTTGCTTTACCTGAAGGGAAACTTGTTTATTGATTTCCCCTCCTTTTTTTGATTTGTCCAAATGTCTGATTCAAACAAATGATGTCATGTAATGAAGTAGATACTGTCTCCAACTGATCAGTTGTTGACTTCAGATTAAATCTAGTGACATTGCGACCCTTACTAACAGCTACCACTTTGATGTGATAGTTACTCTTGCATTCAGATACTATTCAAATGAGATCTGTCTCATTGATATAAGTGTAAAACTTGGGCACTGTGGTAGGATGTAATTCCATATTAGATTTGTTTATTTGATATATAGCGCACAGTGATACAGTATTATTTACTTGATTATGTTTCGAGCATAAATTACTACTGCTCATAATCATATCAATCATATCACATTGATATGATTATGAGCAATAATTTATGCTCGAAACGTAATCAAGTAAATAATACTGTATCACTGTACGCTATATATCAAATAAACAAATCTAATATGCAGAAAATCTGTCCCCTTGGAGTTCTACCATACCAGAGAAGTCTGATAGATATTAGTAAGACGAAACGCTGTTACCGTTATCGCATAAATAGTTGTGCTGTGATGGGGGGTTTGAGGACGAAGTCGTGTTACTGGGGTGGGATGTGATACCAGTAAGTTGTTTCCCATGAATGACTAACAGTGCCAAGATGATACTGCCTTCCCTATGGTAATAAGGAGGAGGGGGGGGGGTAGAAAACGTTGACCTCCTAAATGCCACACTCCCTCCTACCCTACGATCTTCCAGTAATGAAGGTAGAGATTTTTTATGAATTCGCTAATTCCATGTGTTTCTCAGATATGTCTAGTCATTCACCTGTGTAGTTTTATGTAAATAGATGTAGAGTTCATATCTAGAAACTTGTTTGTATAAAGTCATGACTCTGCATGGGGTCCAAGAGATCATACAACTCAGTGACTTAAGACGTTATCAGAGGTATATAACTGAGAATCGAAACTATTGATGGTGCTTATGCTGTTACTTCCTCCTATCTTCAATGTTTATCAGTTATGCATAAAAAGACAAGTTATACTCAGTCTATCAAAAAGATATCTCATCAGCTATACATCCATCTCGTTAACTTGAATTCTTATACTCATTTCAGGGTTGTGGTAAACGCTTTTCCTTGGATTTCAATCTACGTACTCATCTACGTATACATACTGGAGATCGACCATATCCATGTCCACAACCTGGTTGTAGCAAACGTTTTGCTCAATCCACAAATTTAAAATCACATTTAGCTACACATAGTAAAATTCGAAGTAATCAATCTAGTTTCATCAATCGGCATCATTTAAATTCCAGTATCAACCGTTCCGTTCTTCTACGTGCCCATACACAACCTATTCCAATTTCAATTAACAGTTCCATTCTACACCCTCAAATGAATTTCTCTACTTTAATTCCTATGGGAACGAGAAGAATTGGTGTTAATAACCAATGTGATAACAATAAATTCAAGTCAAGTTTAACTTCGTTATTTCAAGAAGTTCGTTTCGATGGTTTTCGATTACAGTAAGTGGTGTTGTTATTATTGCAATATTTGGTATTTCTTGTTTGATGATACAGCGTGTAATATCAGAATTGTGTAGGGGTGAGTAGTTGAGCTGTGGCTTTATTGGTTAAGGCACCGATGGCATCTTGGGTTCGAGCCCGGCCCCATTCACAGAAGTTTGTGTATCCAGTTAGTATCACTAACTGTCACACAATAGATGTGACTTATTTACTGTCTGCTGCACGATTGTTCACAAGGTGGCTAGGTATGTTTCAATTCTATTTTCGTTTACGACCCTAACCTAATCGTTTATGAATCCAAGTTATCCCACCTACCATTAGAATATGCACAAGGGGGACGTCATATTGTATATCACTAGTTGTGAAAGGCTTTAGAAAAAAAATTTATAAAGATTTCGAAAACCACTGTGAAAGACGTTTCAGAATATTATTTATCTCCTAAAATTATAATCTGGGTCATGATTTGGCATGCCCAAGGCGGCCAGACTAAAACATGGCATCAATGTATGAAGTCTTTTGACTGTTGGTTTGAGCCATGTGGGGCGATGCAGACTAGGTGGTTGGGGTCGGCTGGACAAGAGGAACCAGCAGTTGGAGACTGATTCGAGGTGGTATGGCTGAGAACCGATGTCAGTGGCGCTATACCGAATCTCACCATCTTCTCATTCTTCCTTTCTCTCTTCTAGTACTTTATATTTGTTTTGACTGAATTTTCTTTTCTTCATCTTCTACTTCTCTGCCTTTTTACTTGATATGGTGATATGAGGTGTGGCAAGTTGGACTGTGACGAACTGATGCCTGATTCTATGTTGATTTGGATCGATGGATGAATGTGAGCCAGTACCAAACTAACCAGTAGTTGTGTTATCCTGTCTAGGATTGAACTGAACTGATCGGTCTCGGGTTCTAGTCCAGGCGGGAATAACCGCTCATTGGATGGCAGGCATATCCAGCTGATGAGTTCCAAATAGGGCGTAACGCGCATCTTGTATTCCACTCCCAACCATTATCCATCATTACCTCATCTACTTGTAAGTAGTGATAACAAAAGATAAAATTTAAAAAAACATGTTATGCAGTTGAAGAAAGTGCTCAGACAAACAGTTTATTTTATTGTTGTGCAGAGGTGAAGGCTAATAATGCTAAGCTGTGGAGTTGGAGTTCGTTATCGCTAACCAGCACATAGTTAACGCAAAAAATGATGTGGAGATGCCCACACATTGAAACAAACTTATAGAACGCCGTAAACGATTATTTACCTATTTGGAGGAAGAACAAGTACATTTCAACGAAGAGTCTCTTTTCAGCGGTTCCATTTTCAAAGCTATACAAAAGCGAATTTACACATTTTTTTCTAGTGTAAGGATCTTATAGTTAAAAACGGTTTGTCAGGCATGACAACACAAATCGTATCAGTAAGTGAGTGAATGAGTAGCAAATTACTTAAGAAGTGAATAATGTCGAAGTAGAAAGATGAAAAGAAAAAAGGAGAGAGTAGAAGAGACTAAAAACTAAGATCATGAAAGGAGAAGGAGTTGGACAATCTTCCTTTTTGCATATACAGTTCAGGTTTCTCCATATGGATTACAGGAGTTTCAACGATGCAGAGAACACGAAAATATACAGCCTTTAAAAGATTTCTTTTCACTTCATAGATAACTTTGAACGAGGAGGTTCTTGAGATAATGTGGTTTGCTTTTATGATGTGTTCAATTATGGCACTCCTCATCGCTCCGTTGGTACCTCTTTGTAACGATGCGGGATAGTGCTGGATAACAGTCACATCGAACGACCTAAATACCGGGCTTCACAAGAGTAGATAAATTAAAAGATGTACATAGAAGTCGTCAGATGCGGGATTTTCTCCTTTGAGTTGTTAGAAATCGTTGGGTGACAAGAAAATTATAATCTCAGCGTTGATGCAACGAATGTTCTCCTTACAATGTTTGATATCCTCCTTTATAGAGTGTCAGCGGCAGAAATCACCTTTGAAGTTTAGAATCATGTAGAGTTTCTTTTTTGGCACGGTAGTAAGGTTCTCTTTACGAGGTTTAGGCTTGATGCGTTTACCTGTAAAGCGTGATGGGAATCCGTTTTCAATCAGAATGTTCTTTAGAACAGAAATTTCCTCTTCTAACATATCGAGACTGCAGATTCGTCTGATGCAAATGGCAAGATATATGATCAGATTTTGCTTACGACTCATAAGGATCCAACTATTAAAATTCGTCAGTCGACCATTCCAACTTGGTTTTCTGTGAGTTGACCTACTTAACGTCCTATCAGCTGTTCTTGTCAGCTCTACATCAACATACTGCAACAGACTTCTCTAGTAATTCATCTAACAGTGAATATACCTTCTTGGTAATGCTGCATACCTTAACGTGAACAGTATGGAAATTGTCAGTGTAGGTTATTTTCGTCTTCTATGGTATAAACCTAACAATTTATGGTAAAATAGACGTTTATGTAGCGTAAGGAGGGCATTGTGAAGACGAATCAAACATGTCGACTGCTTGCAATGGAAATTTGGGATTTTGCCCTACCTTGGTGCTATGAGTGAAAACAATGTAAACTTTTAACAGCCTGTATATGGTGAAAAAGCGTATTTTCTTGTTCATTTCATAACTTGTGGAATGTTCTGGTGCTTTAATCGAATATAATGACCTCCCTTCCATACCATTCAGGTCCCGTAAAATCTTGTAGATTTTCCAACATATATCAATATGATAATGCCAAGTAATTCACAACAGCAAGCTCAGTGATGCTTTTGAAGTGAAGACAGGAGTGAAACAAGGTTGCCTACTATCACCCATGATATTCCTGATTGTAGTGGATTGGATCATGCAGCAAACAGTGAGGAGTGAGAAGAGGAGGATACGCTGGCTAGACCGTGGAAAAGATCCCACAAGAAGATTTGGATTTCGCCGATGATGACTTGTGTCTAATGTCACACAAACTTAAAGATCTACAGGCAAAACTAACATGTTGACAGAAGAGGTGAGGCAGGGCAGCGGAGACAGCACTTCAAGTGAACGTAGAGAAGACAGAGGTGATGAAGATACCCAACCAACAACAACAGCAACAACAAGCTCCAATCACTACCAGTGGAAGAAACTTAAGGGAAGTATCCTCCTTCACCTATCTAGGCAGCACCGTTTCAACTACAGACAGTGGCCGAACAGACGAGGACGTCAAAGCCAGCCAGGATCGGAAAGACAGCAAGACAGGTCTGTATTGATTAGCCTGAAACCAGTGTGGAGATCTTCTGCACTGCACTCAGCATGTGGAACAACATCTGGATTTTCAACACCAATTCAGTCAAGTAAGTCAGTGCTTCCATGTGGTGGCTCAGAGACTTGGCGCGTCACGAAAACCACTTCCAACAAAGTACAGACATTGATCAACAACTGCCTACACTGGCTCGTTACTGACACTGAAGATCAGATGGCCAGAATAGTGAGAATAAGCAACAAGGAACTGTGTCTGGTAACGAACCAACGAAGTGAGAACCTATCGCTCAGCAAATATGCACTGGAAGGAATTGGAGATGGGTTGAATTGGGCATCCGCTGAGAAGGTCGACTGGTGACATCACGCGTCAGGCCAGTTGCTCGAGTGGAATCCCCATGGGAAGCGACGAGTTGGGCGTCGGTGTTGAGGGTGACATGGAGGAGATGGTGTGAGGAGGAAATGATAGCTTGTGAGCAGTGATGGAACCAGGTTCAAAATATTTCAGAGAACAGAGCGCGCTGGAGACGTGCTACCGAAGCCCTATGTTCCATTAGGAACCCAAGGGACAAATAATAAAAATAATAATGCCTGTAAACTGGCTTCTCTTATGTTAAATTACTAATATGAGAATATAATATGTATTTATTCAAGAAAGTGAATTTTCGATCGATTTTTGATCTCAAGGGTTAATCTAATTACTAGGTGGCAGTTATTGAATATTTGTGGAACATTATTCAAATCATATTGATGATCATAGATAATAAAAGTATCGTCTATGTAGCTTCAGTTGTTGATTTGAAGGGTCGGTTCTCGGAACTAGCCATAAAATAGTCTGCTAATAGTGATCCTCGTGGGCGTTCGCATAACAATTCCATCTTTCTGTCTGTAAATCATGTCGTTGAATGTGCATCTAAGTAAGCAGTTCCTTAAGGCGGAGAAATGGATTGGGCATACACTGAGAAGGCCGACTGGAGACATCACGCACCAGGCTGTCGAGTGGAATCCAAAGGGGAAACGACGAGTTGGGCGTTCGAGGGTGACATGGAGGAGATCATGTGGGCAGTCGTGGTGCTAGGTCCAAAAACTGCAGAGAATCGAGTGAAATGAAGGCGTACTACCGAAACCCTATGTTCTCCTAGAAATAATAAGGTGGAGAGTCGGTATCTCAACATTGTTGTTGATATCTTCTATGTATCTGTATAAGAATGGGATAATTTCGATAAGTGGGAATATTGATGAAAAGTGTAGTTCAGTTGTTGTTGTTGTTTTCTTACTAATTCACAGAGTAGTGACCTTTTCTCAAGAGGTGTATACTTATATTTATTCAATCTGAATCCAAATATTCACACTGCGCCAGGTCCTGGAACATAGGCATGCTTACAGACGCCCGACAATAGCTGTATTTCTCGACCTGAAGGCGGCATTTGACTCCGTTGATCAAGAAGTCTTATGGCAATGTCTGTCACTGAAAGGCGTGCCTAGTAAGTACATCACGTTATTGAAAGCTCTCTACTCGAACACTTGTGGGCATGTAAGAGCCTATGGCGAGTTGTCCAGGGAGCTATACTCATCGAGTGGTGTCCGTCAAGGATGGCCACTACCCCCATTCTTATTTAATTTTATCATAGATATTCTTATGGAGGTTTCCCTCTCGTCACCTAATTACACAGACGTCGACCCAATCACAGGTGAATTTTCTTTAGATCTAGAATATGCAGATGACATAGTCCTGTTAGGTGAAGACGCTGATAAGATTCAGAGTCTTCTGAACACCTTGAGTGGGAATTCGAGAATGTTTGGGATGTGATTCTCACCACCCAAATGTAAATTTTTGCTCCAAGACTGGTCTTCAGCGATGCCTCACCGCGGCTAACAATAGAGAGTGAAGTGGTTGAGTGTGTTGACCACTTCACTTACCTGGGAAGTAGGATCAAGCCTGGTGGGTTAGTTGCTGATGAGATTTCTGCACGGATACAAAAGGCTTGATTGGCTTTTGCCAATTTGCGCCATCTATGGCGCCGCCGTGATATCCGATTGTCTATTAAGGGTCGCATGTACTGCACAGCAGTCTGGTCTGTTCTACTGTATGGCTGTGAAACATGGCCATTGAAAGTGGAAGACATGAGAAAGTTACAGGTATTTGACCACCGTTGAATTCGTAGTATAGGACGTATTCCGTGGTGTCACGATGTGAGTAATGCAGAAGTCAGTCTCAGGTGTAGAGTTTTGGGGAGAAGAGGTAAGTCAGTTGACGAGGTTGTGGACCTTCATCGACTGAGATGGTTGGGACACGGTACTACGTATGCCTAGTCACCGATTGCCTCGTGACACAATGTTGGCTGAGGTGGGTCCAGTCTGGAAAAAGGCTCTTGACTGTTGGCCAGACTAAAACATGGCAGCAATGTATGAAGTGTTTGACTGTTGGTTTAAGCCATGTAGGAGGATGCAGACTAGGTGGTTGGGGTCGGTGGGACAAGAGGAACCAGTGGTTGGAGACTCTAGGTGATCATATGGCTGAGAACCGAAGTCAGTGGCGGAGATGTATACACACATTACCCTCATCTTAACGACGCTATACCGAATCTCACCATTTTGTCACTCCTCTTTCCTTTCTTCTCATACTTTATATTTCTTTTGACTGCATTCACTTATCTTCATCCTTCACCTCACTACCTTTTTACTTGATGTGGTGATATGAGGTGTGGCAAGTTGGACCGTTATGCAGTAATGCCTGGTCCTATGTTGATAATGATGATGATGATGATGAAATAATGTACTGTATGGTTATTGATTATTGATATAGTTTGCTTTTTCTCACCATTGATTTTTCAGTACTCCATCCCCGTTAACTACAATCTCTACATCATTATCATCTTTAAATCAATATGAACAGACAAATATCAATGTTATATCACCATTAGATTTAACATCATCTTCAATAGAATCAAGCAGATCCTTATTATCAACAGAAAATTCTACGCTTATGAATAATATATCATCACCTATATCAGTTATATCAACATCACAAATGTTGACTACACTAGATAATGGCCTAGATGAATTTGATCATTCTATTCATAGCAACAATAATATATCAATATTTGATAATTGTTCTACAATCGAGAGATTATCAACTAATTTAGATCATAAAATTGATTTTAATGTTGATCAGAGTATAAAGTGTACTGAAGATTTCACAAACAATATACATACAAATAGTACTGGAGATGTGTTTGGAACACATGTTGTTATCAAGACAGAATTAGATGTTAATCATCCATCTTCAAGTATTCAAAATTCTATAACAACAAGACGAGCAAGAAAATCTTTAAGTTTACCTAAGCGATCAGAATCACCGAATTCAGAGGAGTTTTTAAAGACACAAGAAGATGATTTAGTCTATATGGATGATGTTGATCATATCCCAATGATGAATCATTTTTCCAATAATGATGGTAGTGTTGGTGGTAGTAATCACTCGTCTTCTAACAATAAACCTCATCATCATCATCATCGTAAATCGAAGTCTGTCAATGATAAATATAATCGTAAGACAACAGGTTTACAACATTCATCAACATTATCTAATAGTGTATCTACTATACAGTATAGTACTCGTTCAAAATCTCGTGAATTGTGTAAAACAACAATCTTATCCAATCATTATTGTGGTGGTGGTGGTGGTGGTCATCGACAGGGGAGCAATTTAAAAACGCATAAAGTTAAACGTCGGGTTCATCGATAAGTATGAAATTTCTCTCTCTCCTTGTGTATGTATATATGGTACTGATGGATTCTACCTCTCTGACTATCCCTATCTCATTCATACACATACATCTCATGAAGTCTACTTATCCTTGTGAATACACATAATATACACACATCTATATTCAATTCATATCCTCTAGTCAATATTTACTGGAAATTATTGCCAATTTGACAATAATCAGAAAAAACTTTTTCCATTTCCTTTATGGTGTATGTCTGTTTATCTTTAATCAATTTGCATAATGGATAGTTTATTCGATAAATGGAAGCATTTCTCTGCTGTACTCTTTGTCTATCATTCCTAGTTAGTTGATTTTATGCTCAACATCATTCTTCATCCCTATGTAACAACAACCATTAGTGTCGGTATACATGTCGTTCCTTCCTTTCAAGAGTAGCTAGTCTTATTTCTCCGATGATTATCTCATTTTTTTTCCTTCCATCTATCATCTTACTATTACTGGGCTAGAGAATAGTGTATTGTTCCATCGTTATATATATACCTTCGAGGTGGAAACAGTCGTACACTATGTAACTTGTATTCATTGTGAATAACAAATCATTGCATTTATCTGTGGTGCAATACACTTATTACCCCTCTCCTTCCTCTTGTGTACGCAAGTATGTGTGCATTTCTGCCCCGCGCTCATTGTCCTGTTACCCACTCTATCGTTGTCTCCCGTGATTATGTAATCGAACCATGACAAACAATTGTATATTTGTTAGCGTTGAATCTTCTCTCTCTCTTTCTCTGTTTGTGTGTATGTATGTATGTATGGGAACTCATGTGCAATAAGATCTGGTGATAATTTTTGTGTTATTCTTTTCTGTTTATTTTCATTGTTTTTGATTGGTTACAGTTTATTTTATTATTTTGTATTTGTTTACTCGATGATACACGTCGTCTTCGAACTAGTCATACCGTGCTCGTCCGCGCGAGCGCGCACACACATAATCGAGCCCGTTAGCTTATGTTTATTCTAGTCTACGGATGTGGAAAGAAACAGTTGACAGAAAGACACGCTACCACTGAAGTTATTAGTTATGTAGTACAGTATGTGAATAGAAGCAGAATAGCATAAAGGCAGCAGTATCGGCGGTTTCTTCTCCACAGCAGTGATCAGTAGTGTCGAAATGCGCATATATATATACTGTTACTTGTTATACCTCAAATACTGTGAATGCTTACTGATCTCTCTATCTCTGCTCACATGTGTGTATTAATCACTTCGATCATGTTCCTCCTCTACTCATCTATCATAATATCACTGGAATTTTTGATTCACACTCTAACAGTGTGCGTATTTTGTCCAGTATGCATTTAACCTTTTTCTCTCTCCCTCTCTCTCTCTGTTAGATGATTCTTTCACTCTTTCTTTCTTGTAATCTTGCCTCTCAAAGAAGATCACTTTCACACAAATCATCATAATATGCCAATGATGTAGGCAAATAACAAAACATACACACGTGTGTGTGTGTGTGTGATTTCCTTTTCCCTCTCTTCTTTATCCATTGTGTTTACTGATGTATTTTGGGTGAATGATGTAGGTGGTACCAAAAACAAATTATGTGATTTCCCTTCCTGCCTCACGGCGACCACGTGATTCTAATATGTATGTTGTCTTTCCTTTTCTGTGTGTCTGCGTATTCGTGAGTCAGCTGACACTGTACGAAGTTGTTGTGCCGTTTTCTTCTGCGTCTGTTTCTCTCTGTTATGTTCTACATAATGTGAATTTGTTTCTACGTTTTCTTTATATGCTTACTAATATACCTATCAACTTATTCATTATGTCGTTATCATTACTGTTAATAATAATAATATTATTATATGTTTACTTACCTATCAATCAATTGGTATTAGCTGACGTTTGTTTGAATTATGTAACTAACACCATGACGCAGGGAGATTGACCCCTTTTTTCAGAAATAAAACGGTTATATACACTTACTTGTTTTTGCCTACGATGAGCTGTTCAGATATCCTCGTCTTCGAGAGGTATTATTATTATTTTTTTATTATTAGTCCCTTGGGTTCCTAGTGGAACATAGGGCTTCAGTAGCACGCCTCCAGTGAATTCTGTTACTTCCTTTAAGTTTCTCCCGTTGACGGTGATTGGAGTTTGTTGTTGTTGAAAAAAGTGGTGGTGCGGTATCTTCATCACCTCTGTCTTCTCTATATTCACCTGAAGTCCCGTCTTCGCTGCCTCTTCTGTCAACATGTTAGTTTTTGCCTGCAGATCTTCAAGTTTATGTGACATTAGACACAAGTCATCATCGGCGAAATCCAAATCTTCTAGGTTCTTCTCCGCAGTCCAGTGTATCCCCCTCTTCTAGCTCCCCACTGTTTGCTGCATGATCCAGTCCACCACAATCAGGAACATCATGGGGGATAGTAGGCAAACTACTTTCACTCCTGTCTTCACTTCAAAAGCATCACTGAGCTTCCCATTGTGAATTACTTGGCATGTGGCATCTTCATATAGTTGTTGAATGAGATTGATAGAGGTTTGTGGTATTCCGTAGTATTGAAGCAGTTTCCAAATTACTTGTCGGTCGACGCTGTCAAAGGCCTTCTCGAAGTCGATGAAGTTGAGGTAGAGAGCTGATTGCCATTCTATGCTCTGTTCTATGATGATGCGAAGCGTCGCAATTAGGTCTGCACATGATTTGTACTTCCTGCATCCAGCCTGTTCTGGTCGTAGTTTTGAATCCAGTGCATCTTTAAGCCTCTCCAGGATGATGCGGCTTAATATTTTACTTGGGGTGGACAGGAGAGTGATTCCTCGCCAGTTCTTGCAAGCACTGAGGTCTCCTTTCTTCGGCAGTTTGACGAGGTAACCCTTCTTCCAATCGACAGGTACCTTCTCTTCCTTCCACACCTTCTGCAATAGTGGTGTGAGCATGCCAGCTGTCGTCTCTGCATCTGTTCTCAGTGCTTCTGGTGGGATTCCATCTGGTCCTGCTGCTTTCCCTCATTTCAGTAGCTTCATGGCGTTCAGGACTTCCATTTTCGTTGGAGGATTTATGTTCACTTGTAATTCAGCGGCTGTAGGTGGTATTTGTGGGCGAAGTGCAGATGGTGGTGGTGGTAAACGATTCAAGAGCTTCTTGAAGTGATCTACCCATCGTTTCCTCTGTTTCTCTTCTTTCGTAATTAAATTTCCTTCTTCATCTTTTATTGGTTTCATCTGTGTTGATCTCTTCCCTGATAGCAACCTGGTTATTTGATACAATGTCGTCAGGTCTCTCTAAAAAATACCTGCAGCCTGTTCTGCTTCACTTGCCAGTGTTTCGTAGAAGTGTCTTTTGTCTTTGCGTGCACTCTTCTTCACTTCTTTGTCCAGTGTTTTATACATTGTGCTCAGTTCCTCTTGTCGTTGAGCATCCTTGCACTGGTTTATCTTCTGCTTCACCATCCTCCTCTCCTCTATCAGCTTCCAGGTATCCGTCGAGATCCATTCCTTGTCTTCTTTCTTCTTCCTTCCTAATACTGTTGTGCAGGTTTCTTTCCACATCTCTTTCAAAGACTTCCAAAAAAAAAAAACACAGGTTTCTTCAGGGATGTTCCTCGATATCTTCCATTTTGTTTTGATGGTTGAAGTGAAGATCTCCTTTGTAGTTTCATCCTTCAGTTTCCGAGTGTTGTACTTGAATTGAGGTCTATCACCAGCTTTCTTGAAGGCTTTTAACTTGATTTGGAAGGTTCCTTGCACTAGATAGTGGTCTGAACCTACATCTTCTCCTGTTCTTGACCTTGTGTTAAGTAGACTGCGTCTCCATTTTCTTGAGATTGAGATAAAAAAAATTTGATTTTTAGTGTGTCCAAAAATCTGGTGAAATCCATGTCGCTTTGTGGATATCCTTGTGCTTGAACACACTGCCTCCAATCCCCAAGTCGTTGAATGCACAGAATTCTGCAAACAATTCTCCATTCTCGTTCATCTCACCGAGCACTTCTCGACCCATGGTTAGTTCTCTTCCTGTGTTGTCCCCTCCCAGTTTGGCATTCATGTCACCCATTAGAATTTTGATATGGCTAACTGACGTCTTGTCCAGTGTTAATTGAAGTTGCCTGTAGAAATCCTGCTTTTTCTCTTGCTCTGCATTATTTGTAGGTGCGTAGCGTTGTATGATTGTACCCTTCCTTCCTTTTGAGTTGAATCTTGCTGTCATGATCCTGGAGGAGATTGGTTCCCACTGCATGAGAGCCTTCGATGCTCTTGAGGACATCATGATAGCCACTCCATAACTCATTGTGCTCGTGGTTGTCGTCTGGATGTCAATATCGGAGTAGATTATTGATTCCTCTCCAGTTGACAGTTTGTAGAGTCCACTCCCATTCCGTCGACTTTCGCAAATTCCAAGCACTTCAATGTGATACCTTCTCATCTCTTTTGCAATCTAGGCTGCCTTACTGGGTTCAAACATCGTACGGGCATTCCATGTCCCCACGTTTACTTTCGCTTTCATCGAGAGAAGATACATCGGCCAATTGGCTTCCTGAAGGCAGGCTTTCACCAACTGGCGTCATTTCGCCTCTCCGATTCCAGCGAGGAATAATTTTGTTTTTATTTTTTATATTTTGTTTGTGCTTTGAAGTTTTTTTAGCGGTTAGATTTGTTTTACGGGGTAGGGTTGCTAGCCCTATGCCCAACCTTCCCTGTTTACCCGGGCTTAGGACCGGCTAGTAACTAATGAACTAGTTAACCAGGCGAGGTTTTCGAGAGGTATAAGTGGATTACTTCAATCTTTCAATAAGAGGTCACAAATTCCCCTCGAATTCTAGTTATTTTGATTGGTTTGAGCAATTATATAATGTCTTATGCTATGATTCTCTTCGCAGCATATACGCACTTTGTAGTTACGCATCAACGTAAAAAAGCTATTCACCTCTATGTGGTTGATTTTGTGTTACTGGCTCGTGAAATCCAGTGGTGTTATGTGTGCGGGGGATTATGGGTCGAACCTGGTCGCGTACAACATTTAACCTCTTCGTGACCCAGTTGGGTATCAACCAATACAGTGTCAAGCTGACTTGGTGAAAGTTGCCATCGAGGAGGTCCAGTAGAGCGGATCTTGTAAGCCATCAGGATTCCACCCAGTCCACTGTTAGTAGTGTGACTGAAAGGTAAGGTGAATCCTTCTTCCTAATTCCATTAGTTCTTGTTCAAGCAGTCCCAAGAGATGGAGTGTAGTTTGTCTTGGGAAGGTTAAGTAGTTATATTCAGTGTCGAGTGTCGGTATGTTAGCCATACCTTTCACTGTATATCAGTAGCCCAGAAGTAGCAGTCATGTATCGCAGTCCTTGTACATTTCCTTTAGTAATCTTTTAGGTTATGCATTCTAGCAGTCAAGAAGATATTCCTTTTTCGCTTCGCATTCATTCCTTTCTAATGACTACAATAAACCAACAGTTGTTATCTTCATCCTTTAAGATTACATCCTCAATCCGTAATACGGATAAAGATACTAGTTAGGGTTATAAATAACTGTCAAAGGAGGGTGTTAAAATATCAGGGCAGCTTTATATTCCTACCCTAACTAATGGAAGTATTGACACCTGAGCAATGTGAAGAGTGAAAGCATCTTGAATGTACACTGAAAGAGATCGTGAACAATAGTGTTCTAGTGAAAGCTAAATAGGCGGGGAAAAGTCATCAATGTAAGGTTATCCTAAGTCCTGTTAGGTGAAGACGCTGACAAGATGCAGAGTCTTCTGAACACCTTGAGTGGAAATTTGGGATTGTTTGGGATGTGATTCTCACCACCCAAATGGAAATTTTTGATCCAGGACTGGTCTTCATCGGTGCCTCACCGCGGCTAACAATAGAGAGTGAAGTGGTTGAGTGTGTTGACCACTTCACTTACCTGGGAAGTAGGATCAACCTCGGTGGGTTAGTTGCCGATGAGATTTCTGCACGGATACAAAAGGCTCGATTGGCTTTTGCCAATTTGCACCACCTATTGCGCCGCCGTGATCTCCGTTTGTTTATTAAGGGTCGCATGTACTGCACAGCAGTCTGGTCTGTTCTACTGTATGGCTGTGAAACATGGCCATTGAAAGTGGAAGACATGAAAAGGCTTCAGGTGTTTGACCACCGTTGCCTTCGTAGTATAGGACGTATTCCGTGGTGTCACGATGTGAGTAATGCAGAAGTCAGTCTCAGGTGTAGAGTTTTGGGGAGAAGAGGTAAGTCAGTTGACGAGGTTGTGGACCTTCATCGACTGAGATGGTTGGGACATGTACTACGTATGCCTAGTCACCGATTGCCTCGTGACACAATGTTGGCTGAGGTGGGTCCAGTCTGGAAAAAGGCTCTTGACTGTTGGCCAGACTAAAACATGGCAGCAATGTATGAAGTGTTTGACTGTTGGTTTAAGCCATGTAGGTCGATGCAGACTAGGTGGTTGGGGTCGGTGGGACAAGAGGAACCAGTGGTTGGAGACCCTAGGTGATATGGCTGAGAACCGAAGCCAGTGGCGCAGATGTATACACGTGCACACATTATCCTCATCTTAACGACGCTATACCGAATCTCACCATTTTGTCACTCCTCTTTCCTTTCTTCTCATACTTTATATTTCTTTTGACTGCATTCACTTATTTTCATCCTTCACGTCACTACCTTTTACTTGATGTGGTGATATGAGGTGTGGCAAGTTGGACCGTTACGCAGTAATGCCTGGTCCTATGTTGATAATGATGATGATCCTAAGTATCAACTTAAAATTGTCAGTAATGGCAATTAACGAGAGTATCGACAAAGAAACACTGGTCAGTTATCACCTTTGAATCATGGTTTTGACTCGTAAGTCATTCACAAGAGAGTGGAATGAATTGAATATGTATATCATCACACTTTCTAAAATCTGTTTGATGAGATTTTGTGCATTTGTTGAGTCAAACTGGTTAAAATTGAGTAAATAAGGCTACCAGGTCAAGAAAA